GATATATTTTTGAGTATTTGAATATTTTACAAAGTATAACTTGGAATCGTTAAAATTTTCTCATCAAGATGTTGCATTTAACTATAAGTATATAAGATTTAAAGATTAATTAAATCTCATATCAGTAACCCAAAAGTTTATGCTTGATCTAACTATGAAACTTTGTAGTACTCTATGTATCTCAAAATCATAGAATATATAAACCGCATTTATCCATCTCTCAATATCCTTAAGAAAAAAGAAATTAAATAAAATGAAATTCAAAAATCCTTAAATAAATATATTAAACTCATTTTAATCCCTTTGTCAATGACTGCGGTGGTGGTGAAACGGCTTCCAGGAACTCCGGATCAAGCAGAAAATCCGCCATGAACTGAGGAAGGAGGCAAATCTCCAAGTCAACGCTCCCATCTCCTTCCCTACCCGGAAAAGCCGACACCTTTCCGTCGAACTTGTTAGCCGGACCGCACCTTACCGCCGCCCCCTTTCCCCACCCAAAATCACAGCCGTACATATCAAACCTCGGCGAACTTCCGACCATCACGCTCTTCGGATCAAACATCGTCATCTTGTACACCATCGGCGCAGCGTGGTACTCTCTCAGCTTTCCACGAATCGCTTCGTCCGTATGTCCATTCACCGCTCCGTTCAATTCCCTCGCCGCCCATCCCAACCCATTCGCCTCCAACTCCCCCGCCGCCGCCGTCGCCTCTACCGCGTATATCGAGTTTCCAAAGTATTCCGGCGATTGCGGCGGCCGGAGTCTTCCTCTGTTTTGTATTGCTAAACGGCACGTCGTCAGTTGCTCCGCCGGAAATCTACGAGCTCTGCTAATCGCCCTCCATATCATGGCGCACAGAGCTTGGAAAGATGATATCACTATCTGACTCTGCTTCCGATCATTCTCCTCTGTTCTTATCTCCTCATTCGCTTTCTTTTTCAGCTTCGCAATTGATTCGGCTGAGAAATGAAAGAATCTCTGGCGAAGAGCGGGCGGCGAAAAGCGTTCGACGAATTGGGAGGAGTCGGAGAAGGGGAGCTTCACCGGCGGGTTTTCGCCGTCGATGAACCATCTGGCGTGAACCGGAGGGAGAGATAAGGAATTGGTTCTGGTTATCTCGGCCCAAGCATTAAAGAAATTCCAGTATGAAGTTCCGTCGCCGACGACGTGGTTGAAGCAGCAGGCGATGAAGATATCACCGCCGGCGAGCTCGGTGATCTGAACGGAGAGGAGAGGGGCGGAGTGGCCGTCGTGGCTGACGGCGCCGTCGAGAGGGAAGAATGAGTTGACGAAAGGGGGAATGTCGTCGCCAGGAGAGAGAAAGTCGAAAGATGTGATTTTTCCGGCTTTGGCGTGGATGAACTCGGCTCCTTGGTCGTTGCAGTCGATGAAGACGTGCAGGGAGGTGATTTCGTCGCCGTTAAGGTGTTTTTGGGTGGCGAGTCGGCCGGCGAGTGGGTAAAAGTGTTGGAGGGTGATGGAGAGGGAAGCTTTGAGGGTGGTGAGGAGGTGGTGGATGGGAAGGGAAGGGGGGAGATTGGTGAAGAGGAGACCTTTTTGGATGTAATGAGGGCAGAGCATGGCGACGTCCCATGGAGTTAGGTGGCAGAGAGGGGGGTGGGAGGAGTTTGTTGGAGGTTTTACTGTGTGTTTGGAGATGATTTCGACCATGGGAGCAGAAGAAGGCATGGTTGGTAGAATAAGATGAGTACAGGAGCGCTGAGATTTTAGAATGGAGGAGGCAGGGGTGCTGTTTATATAAAAGTTTGAAAAATTTACTTTCGTACCACTAAAATCGTATGTATTTGCATATTAATACCTAAAATTAAATTTTTACATACATAACACTTTTTTTTAATGCATGAAAAAATATATATTTTTAAAGTTAAAATAGAGGTATTTCTTATGTCATGTGAAACATTAGAATGCTATAAATGTAAAAAAAAAAATGTAAAATTTTTATAGACACATAAATATTTGATGGTATGTATATAAATGCTCTACTGCTTTTAAATCTGTTTGGGGCAGCTTATTTGGTGTAGTGGCGTTTGGAAAACGCACCTCGTCTATTT